ATTAAGTCACACATTCGAAGTCGTTTTGCTTCTCCAACTTGTTTTCGACGCATTTTATTTCTCCATTGCTTTTCACAGCAGGGCTAAAGACAAACTGTCCTGTGACTTCTTCATAACTGATGCTGTCGCTGCGCTCAACATCACTCTCATCAGTGGCGGTTGCCCGCCGTTTACGAACAACCAACTGGTTGGTGTCTTTCCCCAACTGGTTTCTCTCCTCTACCAACTGGTTACTCTCTTTCACCAACTGGTTACTCTCCTTCCTCAACTGGTTGGTGACTTTATCAGACTCATCCGAACTTGACTGACGGCCGTCCTCCTCAGAGCTCGATTCCGAATTGGAGCTTGGTTTCACTGCCGCTTTGGTGGCAAGGCTGTACCTCTTCTTTTCTTTGATGACGGCTTTAATGTCGAGGCTGCCGACTGGTTCATTGTCCTCGGTGTGCGAAGATCGCTCGCGTGTTTCACAAAACAATCGGTCCGTCTCAGCAATTAGCTCAGCACCTTCGTCACCCGCACTGCATTTTGCTGTCTGTGTTGCCCTCCTTGTCGATGAACAATTTGAACCGTCCGAAAGATCGTCTTTGGCATCATTCACATGAGGGTTGCCCATTCCAGTCGAAATCGAAGCGTTATCAGACCTCATAATTTTCGGGACGCAGCCCCACCTCACACATTCTCCAAATTCACGCAAAGCTTTTGCCATCTTGACGAAAGTTTGGACTCCCTGAGAGCTCATTGCCTACACGACCCCTCCAGCAATATCTAGGCTAGTCATCCACTTCATGGACCCATTAAGAGCAGCATGCTTCACTGATCGCATGTGCGAGCGCTGTAAGCGGAATGCGGCACAAGAAATGACTCATCCTCCTCCGGGCGGTTTGCTTCGGATTGCAATAACCAGCGACTATGAATTTAGTTGACTTGAATCACCTTATTCTTATCCATCGATGCCCGTACAAACATCGTGTGGCGGCACGGAAGCAACATAGTCCGCATGAAGAAGCATAAGCTCGTGTAAAGCTGCATAAAGTACAAACTATCGTCAGTATTTTAGATTGAAGTCACAGTACTACCGCGCTTTCACGTACCGAAACATCCACAGTATATTCGCAATCCGTTATGTGCGACTTCAGACGGGCGATTGAATTTTGCAACAACTTGCCCTCGTAGGACAAAGAACCATTCTTATACAGTTCGTATTCCTTTCGGACCAGCTCAAATGCATGCGGGCTTACCAATGCTGCCAATCGAAGTAGCATCTCATCTGCGGCGTGGTAGTTCCGTGATACTAGAATATTAAATCGAGATGCATACTCCAATTCAGCCGTCGACTGCAGAAAATGCAGCGTTTCCACGCGTTCATCAAGCTCCATCTCCGGCTTCAAAATATCTTTTAGCGCTCCCCCACGCTGTCTCAAGCCTGCACCATGGTGACGAGTGATATGGCTAGACGCATAGAGTCATATGCACATTAAGAACGTACGTACCTGTTGTTGGTGTGATTGCCAAGGTGGGCGACATGGCCCCGCTCGTAAACCGACCACATTTCCTTGCATGAGTGCCAGTTTTGAGCGAAATAATCAAGAAGGGGGTGTTTTGGCTCCGGTAGCTCACCCTGTTCATCGAATCCGTCCAATACATAGTACATGTACCTGAAGCCGCGGTCGTACTCCTCTTTATTCGGAGCCTTCACCATCATATCGAGCAAGTCTTCAACGCGATCAAAGTCGACACCATGGCGACCACCATAGATAACCTTCGACATCTCCGTACGCAGATATTTCTTCAGATGAAAGTGACAAATCAATACACGCGCTAACGGAAACTCCCGTTGCTAAATACTTATTTTTTGAAGTCTTTGTCGACCATGAAAGCGCTGATCTGGTCCCACGAAGGGTAATTCTCCTTGAAAGCCGTGATTACATCCTTTGTACACGCGTGACTTTCATTTTCGACTAATGCATGTTGAGCATATTGACCCTAGCAAGGAAGAAGCACAAAACAAGAGCCGTCAAACATAATAATCGATCAATCAGTATGATCACCAGCTACCGTCTTACCCCCATATAAGGCGTATGTGTTCTAAATAAAATACGGGATTCACGCGACATCTAGCTTAAACCTCAATTTGACCGCCTACCTAATAAGGATACATGTGGCTGAAACCTACTTAAAACACAAGGCTGTACCAACCAATGAATATTCTTGTGAGCTCCAACCAACGACCCTTCTCAACAAGCTTGTCGGTGCTGCTGTTACTTGGCTTTAATTCTATTATTTTATATTTTACACAGCCATGAGTCCTGACCGACGTAGCTATAGGTAAGTACTGTTGACAAGCACAATAAGCTGGTGTCCAAATTCTCGTACACAGTTGAAAATCCTCTGAAAACGCTGTGCTTGGTTCGCTCCGGATCATATTTAGCAGTGAAAGTAGATGGAAACATAATACTTAAGTATAATACACGTGATTACATGTAATGCATTTGTGCAGACGATTCTTATAAAAAGAAAAAAAAACAATAATAGAATCTATAATATTAACAAGCAAAGCCTCCGTATACAACGCAGCCACAACAGAAAGAAAAGACCCATTACCAATCACAACATCACGTGAACTGCACGCAGGAGGGTTTGAACCCTACCCGATCGCGTAGGAGGGTCAAGCCTCAACGGTCAAGCCAGATTCCAGGACCCATTCGTCAAAGTCAAACAATTTGTTTGTTGTACAACACATAGGCTTTCTAAAGAATATAACACACAAGCAGTGTTGTATTCATTTACAACACATATGCCTTATATGCGGGGTAAGACGGTAGTCACCAACTAGTCACCAATTACACCAACGGATCACTAACCGTTTGGTTATGTTACGAATTCATCACCAACTGCAGTACTTACGTGGCCAAACGCGTCGTCGATCATGAAGCTAAACAGCTTGTACTTGGCAGCAATTGTCCTGTGAGTCGAGTCCGGCATCATTACTTCCGGAAAAGCCTTGAAGAAGCGTCCCATTTGATGAGTCTGCATAGTGATTTTCTGCGTTGTATTTGTCTCATCAACGAATATGGTTGCAGAATTTCCACGAACAGAGCAAAACGTCCGAAGCACAGATTCCAGTCTGTCTTTAACAGTTCCGACACCACGGCGTTTTGACTTCAACTGCTGCACCAAATTGTAGCCATTCCGCAATGTTACTCGCTTTCCTGTACCGTGATCAGTTGAGATGCTCGCATTAGCACAGACAGCAACTCAGAAGATGACAACTCGTCATCCGTACCTGTCGTATCTTGTAGATACTTGATGATCTTCTTGGGCTTGGCTCCCGCTTTAACAAGCTCGTCGACAAAGTCCAGCACGCTAGGTTTCGTCACATGCCGAGTCGCCGGGTAGTTTTTCGTAGACGTCACGCCGCAATCGATGATTGTGTGTTCTGTTGTGCGTGCTTACATATATCCGCCATGTAGCATTCGTCGGACAAAGAGAGACCGTTGCAGAAAGATTGACAGCACAGTTTATGCTGCGGCTCATGTGCCCAGTCCGTTTCCCCTCACCACGAGACTTCTCCCACCCGTGTGTGCACACATACTTCTTGTAGTAGTCACCAAATGAGTCAGGAACCAGCTCGCTCGAGCTCCACCTTTTCTTCTTTTTGATCTTCTCGTTTCTAACTGACACCTTCACGCACGACCGAATTCGATAGAGCTGAGCAATCTGCGCCTCATACTCTCTCAGACTCGCAAATAATGCATCCCAGTTATCGTGCCACTTCGAGAAACGCGGCGCAACCTCGCGAATCTCTCCCCCATCGCTATCCGACGAATCACCTACGAACTTGAACGTGCTTGCGTCAATAGAGCGTTCGCTCTCAGACCTCGAACGGGCCTCCGCTGCAGATGTGTCGCTTATCGAGCTTGTTGTGCTGCGTTGACGAAGGAGGAGGAGGCGGAATGCACTGCTTGTCAGTGGCGCGCGGAAGCCTGCTGGCTCGAAGGGGGGATTTTGACATGGAAGGCTGTGCAGAAGCGCGCGAATTTAGACAAACAAATCTAGAGATTGCGGTAATTTATCGTGAAAATTAAATACGAAGATCAAGTGTGATAACCGGTAATTCCGTCGTGTCCCGTCTCTACCTTTTTGGTTGGGAGCTCTAGTCAGTTCCAAAACATAATTATGTGGGGCTAGGTGCAAATCAAAACAAATTGAAAAATGTTTGTCTGTAGGGGCTACTATTCGAGCGTTGTTTCTGCTCTACTTTTTCTACTTCGAAGTACTTTATGTTGCAACTTGCATAACTAGCATTACTCTCTGCGGTGATTTAAAGCCACCGGCAGCTTGATTCAAACGATCGCAGGCTGAGATGCTTAGTTGCGCACGCTCACTCCGTCCAATTGAAGGACAGGCAACAAGTGGAGCGAACCTACTGCATATCTGACCACACAGGAGACCAAGGGAATAGCCCTTGTGCATATGGAGCTAAAACTCCAATCTTCTTATCATTCCCAATTCTACCAGCTAATACACACACGTCTCCTTCAACACTGTCGACTCATCTTCGTGGTCTTCCTTCTATAACCTCCATAAGGTTATGAGCCCAAGTCAACGTTAAAACTACTGAAGAAGTTCCCTGTTATACGACTGGCACTATTGACACTGTGAAACGTGACACCTGAAATAGCTGATACTGGGATACCTGATATTGGATACCCGTAATACCTGATACCTGTGACGTGTGAGAATCTGTGACGTGTGCCAACTTCAACTTGCTGTACCCGCTGCAACATTCACTGGTTAAAACAACAACAAGAGCATAAACAATGGATTCTGACGTCGAAATGAAACCAAAAGTACGGCGTAGCCTCGCAAGCGAGATGCAAGCAGCTAGTGCTGAGCCTGCAGTCAAGCTCGAGAAAACTCACTTAAACACAGACCCTGAGCTAATGCAGCTACGATCTGAGGTGGCAGAGCTTCGTCACCATGCAGCGTCAACAGCTCAAATGATGAAAGATATGGAGTCAATGAGGGTACAGTTTGCAAACATGATGGCAAAACAGCCACAGCTGCATGCGGAACTTGCTGAGCTTCGAGCACACGCTAAAGTTGCTCCTCAACTATACGCAGAAGTCAACCAACTTAAGGCATCCCTACAAGCTGCTAGAACTGGTGCGTCAGCTTAGGCCCCGAACCCTTCTGGGGCAACACGCACCGCCCCTAAAATCAAGGACGTTATTTGCCGCAAGTTTAGCGGGCAAGAAATATACCCTGGATTGGGTGCAGGCTTCGAAGACTTCATACTAGAGTACGAGCAAGCTGTTTCTACTGAATCCTTGCTCAATCAGTCCAGGTGGACCTCCGACATTAAAGCACACGTGCTTGTCAACTTCCTAGAAGGAAAAGCATCACGATTTTTCCACTCAAATGTGGCTCAATGGCGCATCGAATAGAGCGATTTCAACTATAATGACTTCAAGGCAAAGCTCTGTGCCGAATTTGGTTGCAAATTGAACCAAGTCTAGAGAGAGAGACAGACTTATCTATTTAAACTTAGTTTCTAGATGTCTGGTAAATCCTAAGCCTGGTTAGCAACGCCGGTGTCTGCGCTAGATCCGGTGGTTGTGCGAGGCTTGTCAGCTCATGTGACTGCTCTCTTGGTTCGTCTTCCAGTGTATTAATACACCCCTGTAGTCGTGTTCCTTGCTCCATCCGTTCTGGTGAGCGGCGCTCGCGTTTCGCGAGCGCCGTTAGCTGCCTGAGTCCGGTTGTCCAAAACTCTTGTACTATGCCATCGATAGATGTCTCCTCGTGCTGAAATACGACTCGGTTTCTTTGGATCCACAGCGTGGTAATGCAGACACTGGATAGGATACGCCAGATCCTCGTCCATTCTTCTCGGTAGAGCTTCTCGTCCTCCGGATGAGCTGCTATGATGCTTCTCACTCTGGGCGTAATTAACGCCGGTGCTTTCCTGGCCGCGCAATTGCTGCGGTACTGTTCGCGACGACTGCTTTCTCTGTGATCTCCCGTCCAATGGCTGATTAGCTTGGACCAGCACTCCTGCGCACCTGAACACTCCCAGAATATGTGCGCTAGGGTCTCCTTCACTCCTTGACACTCCGGCAACTTCCGGCAGCTATTATCCGTTAGTCGGCCTTCGTGGAAGAGATTTAGCTGTGCCACAGCGACCCGGTACGCCACCCAAACTTGGTACACTGTTAATTCGTTACCATGGGACCAGAGCTGCTTCGGTAGTTGGCTTAGGGCCCCGCATTGCCACTCGTCGGTTCTCCTCCGTTCATCTAGTCCGTCCACTGGGGTCTTTAATCCTTTCTCTGCAACTTGGTAGCGTTTGAAAGGCTGCTTGTTGATAGTTGACAGCACTCGCTTGTTAGCAATTGTCGCCTGCACATCCCATTGTATGCCATGAATCGAGGGGTGTGCCTCGAAGACGATGCCCCCGTCATCCTGAATGTGCTGAAGCACCTGAATATACGGGTGCACCTCTTCTGCTGTCGCGGGGCCCTCGACTACCCTCCAATGTATGCCGTTGGATTGTTGCTCGAGTTGGATGGTACATGCCCTCCCAGCGGCATTATCTGTCGATACTCCGATGGCGCGTGCCTGGCTCACACAACTCCAGTTGTAGGAGTTGATGAGCTCTGGTTGATTTCGTAGGCGTAAGGCCGGGTTGACCTGTATGGATTGCCCTATGTCTAACCGCGGCGAGCTCCTCAGAATCGCTATTGCCCAGCGCCGTAACGTTAGTTGGCGATGCCTCTGCTCTCCTGCCACGGGAATTATCATTGAGTATGTCCACTTGCCTGTCCTGTGAATTGCCAAGTCGGAGATCGAGCATTCCTGGATACGGTTATATTTTCGGCTGTTGAGTGTGGCTCCCGTGCTGTCTACGACCCACGGATTGCTAGCCCAACTGTACGTCGGCCAGAATTGCTCTTCCGACGTCGATTGTTCCCGATAGGGGGTTGGGGGCAATTGTGGGAGCTCCACTATCCACTCGCCATCTGAGAACCAGCTGATAGATCGTTTTGCCAAGTCGTCATCTGGAGGCTGGGCCTGCCGTAGGTCGTCGTTAGGCAACCGCGCTGTTTGCCACACCCATTCCCCCATTGTGTGCGCTAGTGCCACCCCGGGAGTATAAATTGAACCAAGTCCAGCTGTACAAGCGTTTAACATCTGGTAAGTGCTCACAAGATTCGTGGTCCGAATATTTGGACTACTTGAAGTATGTGAACCGTCTCATGACAGGCGATCACAGTCTACTATTATTGGAAACATTTTGCACCAATGCCTGTCCAGAACTTTCCAGTACCTAACCGCTCGAATTGATCGCTCCAACTTAAATTATCTGCTGGAAGCGGAAGCGTGGCCACCACGCGCAAACCGCAAGCTTGTCTGAACAGTACGAGAAGAAGCCTGGCTGGTCGTCACAGCAAAAGGCCCAGCAACAGCTCAGCCAACGTCACCAGAAGCAGAAGCCGCAGACTGGACACGGTCAAGCTCACGTTGCAGCAGTAAAGTCCCCTGCCAAGATTATATGCTACGTATGTGACAAGGAAGGCCACCGCGGACCCGCCTGCCCTGAGCTGAAGCGCATAAAGGCATCTGTGAAGCAACAAGGTCAAGCCCACAATGCAGTTGTGACGACTACCGAAACGTCAGGCGAACAGCCCACCGAAGCCTCGGAGGCCCATCTCTGGTATGCGGCTACGAACAGCGAAATTGGGGTAAATCAGCCTCCAACTGAGTGGATTTTGGATTCTGGAGCTACGCATCATATGTGTACTGACCGAAGTATGCTGTTCGGTACTGAGGCCACAAACTTGACAATTCAAGTAGCAAACTCGACGGCAACACTGAAAGGAAACTGCTTACTTGAAACCACGGTGAACGGTGAACGACGGAGTATTTTACTCACAAACGTTTTCTTTTGCGAGTCACTCGGCCAAAACTTACTGTCTTTAAGCCAGTTACGTCGTGGTGGACTCACTTTTAATTTCTCGGATAAGTGCACATTTTACGCCAGTGACGGGTCAATTGTGGCTGAGGCCATTGAACGTGGCGGTCTTTGGATTGTTAACGCCATTACACTAGGTTCCCCAGGGCCTGGTGGCAGCGCATACTTCGTCAACATCAAAGTGAACACACTACAGAAGTGGCACGAACGGCTTGGACACGTAAATTACCAGGATCTACTACGGATGGCATCGAAGAACCTCGTAAACGGTATCGCACTAGCAAACAAGAAAGCTACATTTTGTATGGCTTGTGCAGAAGGCAAGCAGAGTCGCAATCCGCAGCCAATGGAAGATACGTCAGACTCCGCTCCAACTGATGAAATTGGAGCTGTCATCTGCATGGACTTAAAGACGGACCTCAGCCCCGATCGGACTGGTCACCGACACATCTTGACTATCGTCGGTCATGCATCAAATTACAACGAAGTTTACCTACTTCACGCAAAGTCAGACGCCTTCGACAAATTTCTCCACTTTGCAAATACGTTCCAACGGCAATACAACCTGAAAATCAAGGTTTTGCGAACCGATGGTAGGGGAGAATTCATTAACGCAAAGTTCAGTGAGTATGCAGAGCGACACGGGATTCGGCTCCAGATCTCGCATCCTAATACATCGGCGTCGAACGGGAAAGCTGAACGCTACCACCGCACACTGATGAACTCAGCCAGAGCCATGCTGTGGGCTTCGTCGTTACCCAAACGATACTGGGGCGACGCAGTATTGTACGCATCATACATCAGAAATCGAGTGTCAACGCGTTCCAACGCAGATCACAAGTCTCCACTGGAAGTACTCACCGGTAAACCTCCACGTGTTTCCCACATTTTTACGGTTTGGTTCAAAGTGCACTGTACATATCCAGCGCAAAACAGCACGAAGTCTCGCCAAGAGAGCTGAAAAAGCAATTGTCGTTGGTGTTTCGCCCACACAAAAGGGAAATTTACTTTATCTTCCCCGAACAAAACGCTTCATCACTAGCCCAGATGTTCAAAACGTCGATAAGCTGGACCCGCAGAGCCCCAACACATCAGAGGTTCTTCGGTGACTTCATGGTGAGGAAGATAGCAACCCCACCGCCACCAACAGTACTGGTGGAGAAGGAAACCCAACGGAAAGAAATGGAGAAGGTGAAACCAGCGATGACGAAGGTGTACCAGAAGCTTTTGGCCGTCCTATATCGGCTGGTGTACTGCGAAGGGTATTTGGACGACGAGGATCTGAGAAACCTGCTGAATTTGAGCTATTCAAGTCGTTCTTAGATGCTTTTGCGGGACCAGCTTACGTGCTACTTACCATTCGTGCTTCGGATCACATCAAGGAACCACGCACATTAAATGAAGCAATGCGCAGTAAATACTGGCAACACTGGAAAGAGACGATGGATAAGGAGCTTGTAGATCTCCAGGCAAATGGCACCTGGGAGCTCGTCAAAACTCCTGACGATGTAAATCTCGTGACTTCGAAGTGGGTGTACAAAATCAAATTTTCTAGTAACGGTGAACTGGAGAGATTTAAAGCGCGGCTCGTCGCTCGGGGATTTACGCAAAAGTTTGGAGTAGATTTTGACGCAACATTCTCGCCAGTACTCAGAATTTCCAGTCTCCGCCTTATTACGATGTTGGCAGCAATTTGGAAGGCTAAACTGCTGCAAGGAGATGTGCCAAATGCATACCTAAAATCTCCTTTGGATAAGCCAATTTACTTGAAGCCACCAACTGGAACTGCAGGAGCTCACGTCGGCTACTCGTGGCTACTTCTCCAAGGTTTGTATGGTTTGAAACAGAGTGGGAAGCTCTGGAACGACATGATTAACGCGTTCCTGAAAGCTGAAGGATTTTCACGCAGCCAAGTGGATCCATGCATTTATTTTATGCATCGAGGCGGAAAACTGTGCGTCCTAGGGCTGTATGCTGACGATGTTTTAGTAGTGAGTCAAGACGACAACCTCTCACAACACGTGATGTCGCGCCTTAAAGAACGGTTCGACATCAAGAACCTTGGTGAAGCACAAAAGTGCCTGGGCATTTGGATCACACGTACCCCAATGGTATTATTCTTCACCAGCAACAAACAATTGAAGAATTACTCCAAAAATTTGGAATGGAAGGGTCTCGTGCGGCTGTGACTCCGATGGAAGTCAATCACCGGTTCTTCGATGAAAATGCAGAGCCATTTACTGATACAAATATCTACCGCGAAGCAATTGGGAGTTTACTCTGGCTATCAAATTGTACTCGACCTGATATCACCACAGTAATTAATTGTTTGGCGCGTTTCGTGGAGCATCCGACTGTAACACATTGGCAAGGAATCAAACGTGTATTGAGGTATTTGAGAGGCACCAGTCGCAAAGGACTTCTGTACAAGTTTGGGAGTGGACCAGGAGTGCAATTGCAACCTGTTGTCTATTCTGATGCAAATTGGGCTGGGGATTCTAAATCGGCAAAATCGACAAGCGGAGCCGTACTCCTGATCAATTCAATGACAATCTCATGGGCGTCGCGCAAGCAAACTACCGTCGCATTATCTACTATGGAGGCGGAATATGTAGCTGCCTGTACCGCTGTACAAGATTGTATTGGCATTCGCCAGCTCCTAGAAGAACTTCAACTACTACGGAAAGATATCCCCATTTTACTGCGCGTCGATAACCAGTCGGCAATCAAGTCAATGGAAAATGCGGTATCGTCTCAGCGTACCCGTCATTTGAGCATCAAATACCATTTTGTTCGAGATGCAATCATGAACAAGGACGTCAAGGTTGAGTACTGCCCAACTCAGCAGCAAATTGCTGATCTTTTTACGAAAGCAACGGATCGGATCATTCACGATCGTCTGTGCTGCATGCTTCACCTCACAAGTACTGCTTGAGGGGGAGTGTTGCAACTTGCATAACTAGCATTACTCTCTGCGGTGATTTAAAGCCACCGGCAGCTTGATTCAAACGATCGCAGGCTGAGATGCTTAGTTGCGCACGCTCACTCCGTCCAATTGAAGGACAGGCAACAAGTGGAGCGAACCTACTGCATATCTGACCACACAGGAGACCAAGGGAATAGCCCTTGTGCATATGGAGCTAAAACTCCAATCTTCTTCTCATTCTCAATTCTACCAGCTAATACACACACGTCTCCTTCAACACTGTCGACTCATCTTCGTGGTCTTCCTTCTATAACCTCCATAACTTTAAAATAGTTTTCACGTACTGTTGAGCCAATTTTTGTAAGTACCTGAAATATCCAGAGCATCATGGAGGAAACAGCTGTTATCATTCTTCAATCGACCAAGACAGAACAGACATAATTTATAGCTAAGAACATCTGAATAACAATATCCGCCATTGAAAGGAAAGAGGGTAATTTATCTTAAGTTTACCCTCTCAACCACTGTATTTGGAGGGAATTACTATTGGGAATATCAAAACAGAGAGGATCGTCTGCTTAGGCAAACAATTAACCCATGAAAAAACAGTGTACATGTATGTAAATCGCATCTATTTACAAGAATTGTCGATAGCTGTTTTATAAAAGTTTAAGGTGACCTCGGCGAGGTCCACGCTGTCACCAGCCTAAAATGCCAGAGGATCCTCCAGCACCGGCATGCTGCGGTGCTTCATCGTCTCCAGTTCCTGCTGGTGCTCCAGACCCAAGAACGTCGTCATCAGCTTGTTCAAATAAACATTTTCGTGCACACCCTTGCACATGCGCTCAAAGATCATGGGACCCTTGCAATACAAGTTTACGTCCGTGCCCACGTGCCCCACAGTCGTCCAGCCAATCCAGGCGGGGGCACTAATAATGTGGCCTAATTCGATCAGCACGAAATACAAATCGCGCGTCTCGTCAACAGCAGTGGAGATTTTCGTCGCCAGCTTCGCGACATCGTCGTCCGTGAAAGAAGTGACATTGGTGTAGTTAGCCAGCATCCACTTGGACGTTTCCAAAAGAGCAGTCTTGCACGTCTCATTAGCTCCGATAGCGCACTCGTCGCTTACCAAAATCTCATCCAGACGTTCTTGCATCGCCTCGGTCGACATGTTTTGCTGCTGCAGTTGTGACGGATACCACGGGTACGGGTACTCCATGCCGCTACGACCAAGCGTAAGACCACCAGTACCGTGGTCAGCTGCTGACAACATCGCCGTGTTGGGAGCCTGCTCCACGTGATCCAATACCACAGCAACCGTCTCGTCAAACGCAATCGCTTCCTTCGCCATGGTACCGGGGTCGTTCGAGTGACCGGCGTGGTCCACGCGCGAACCCTCAATCATCACGAAGTAACCGTGCTTCTTGGCCTGCTCATTCTTGCGAAGAAGACTCAACACAATGTCTACCATTTCTGGAAGACTTGGCTCACGTGCAGTGGTGTTATTTCCTGCGAGTTCACGGAGACGATCGACTTCATACGACATGTGACTCTCTTTGAAGAGTCCAAACAGACGAAGAGCTCCAGTGTCTGCATTTGCAGTCTTATAGTCGAGGAGACCTTGGTAGTTTTCTATAACGGTGTAGCCATTCGATTTGAGATCTTCGAACATCGAGTCGTTAAAGTGTTTCTTACCACCACCGAGCAAGAAGTCAAGGTTCTTATTAGCAACGTACTGCCCGGCGATATCGTCTTCCGAATCACGGTCAACAACGTGCGCAGCGAACGATGCTGGTGTTGCGTGGGTTACCCGACAGGTTACGATCATACCAGTCACCATGCCACGAGCCTTGGCAGCTTCCAGCACGGTACCCAAAGGCTGCTCGTACGAGTCAACAGCGATAGCCGAGTCGTACGTCTTATAGCCCGTCGAGTAAGCAGTAGCGGCCGCTGCAGAGTCCGTAATGTAACTTGTAGCCGAGTGCGTCTGGATAGTTCCCATAAGATGCGGATCAATGTGAAGACGAGTTTGCAGACTCGGGTCCAGAACAGTGCGTGCCAAGGTGAAGACGTTCGGCCCAGTGCCGTCCGGAATCATCATGATGACACTGCGTGGAGAATCCTCACTTTCGTCGAAGTTATAGTCCACATCAATGGTCTTGTACTCGTAGTGGGTAGCAGCACTTGCGAGCGTCGCGACGGTGGCGTAAAGGGCCACGGCACGGCACATGCTGGCCATCTCTGTGATATGATCGAAGTGTGCAGACCCAAGCAAAATGCAGAATGACCACTAGTCGTTGACCAGTCCTCACTGAGCTGGGGAGTCTGGTCCAGCCTGGGCAGAAAACCACTGCAGATGTACAATGTAAGCTTTACGGTACGGAGCTTGCACCTATCATATTCTTTGGGGCGTGTCGCGGATGTAAACTTGTTGTTTATTGCGCTCGCTCATCCGAGCAGGGGCTAATGGTAACCAAATATCATATGATATTTTTGATAGTAATAGTACTATTTTCGATATTAAATATTAATAGTAACTCATTTTTGCAAAAGCTAACATAATATTTCTATATTAGCTCGGAGAGCTGAAAAATATTAGATACTACATGATATTTTATGATATTTTCCCACTTAAGTACGTTTCTTGCCAGCTTACCTCTGTGAACCGAGCGGAGCCAAATAACTTTTTCGATCAGGTTCTAGAAAAGCAGTAGGCTTTAAGACTGACGAGTATTTGCTCTAGTATTTCACTGTGACACAGACAAAGGCGATCGAGATGGAAAACTGCAGCTGTTTAACGTTGATAGAGCGAAATCAAAACATTTTTTCTTGTTCTCTACCGATCTCCTCGTCGACATCGTGCGTCTAATAAACCTGCTGCCTGTGGCGCTAGATTAATGCGCTCAGCAGTGCCAACACACAACGCCAACCTTGCCGTCACTCACAATTGTCCCGGTACTCACGGTTGATTAGTAATACTTCAGCTAGTCGAGCGTTAACGACATCTGATTGGTTAATGTTGCTCGATTACGCAATCATTGAAAAATATAATATCGTATTAACTAATATTAAGCTGATATTTAATAATATCATATTGTCTCAGAAGAAAATATTAGGTGATATTTTTTATATTAACTGGTCTACAGGTGATATTTTCACAATATTAACTTCACCGATTTTGGAGTTACCATTAACCCCTGCATCCGAGACCACTGCGGCTAGGGTTCGCAAAATGGGTTTTGGAGTTTTTGGGTTTTGGGTATTTTAAACGACCCACCCACCCACTCTTTTTTTAGGCTGGGTTTTCTGGGTTTATAAAAATAAAGTAAGAGCGATAGAGCTGACGCAATACGCAAGTGCCATGACTGGCTTTACCTGCGCGTCTTCGCCCATGCATCTTCAGTGCGCCGGGTCATTTGCTACAATACCCGCTTTCGTCTAACCAGTTGAAAAGAGCTACCCCAACCGCCACGAGCTGTCATTAGAGCATATTTCTTCCTTGGACCGCCCCAAAACTCGGTTATGCATCTATATTTTCTTTAACCGCCCTGAAGCGCTCCATATTTCTCTGAGGTGACACAGTTTTTTTGATAATTTTGTAGGTGACGTCATCCAACACATAAGACCCAGTGTTTTATCCCACCAACCCACAAAAAATTCATTCAAATTCGAAAAACTGGGTTTTGGCGAACCCTGTCTGCGGCCTCAAAGATTATTATTTGATGCCGTTGATCGTTGCTGGACTGCATCCTATCATGTATACCGGTACATGTACTAACAAAAGTAAGTCTTATCTATGACCACAAGCTTTTTGAGCCTGTGGTAATTTACCTCAGGTTGAAAAGACTGAGCTAAAGTTCATACCGATTTCCAACACCAACTTCTTTGCCCTTAAATTATAACCAGCAAGGGGTAACCATTTTGAAAACTGGGTAAAAAGGCTTTCGTTGTATTAAGTTTCGTGGAGGGTTATTAATACATCTTAACCCTACATCTGCCGTAGAAAAAACTTAATTAATAAAGGCTTCTTCGATTAGAAGCGGTAGAAACTCGGCCGTCCCAAGGTTGTACTCAGGATGACCTATGACACGTAGAACCGCAGCGCCAAACACACTATGGGAGACTACACCCACACTTCGTACCGAATAGTTGTTGAAGATATGCTTTAAAAACTTGGTAGCGCGGGTCTCGATCTCGGCGTTGGTCTCACGATGATCTTGAGTCCACCACGGATCTGCATCAGACTCAAAACCACTAAAGTCTAACTGCGAGTATTGCATTCTCTTTTCAGAGATGTTGCGGCGCTCGTCACAAGTATGAGTGCCTAGTATCTCTCGCGGCAGTTCTAGCGGTGTACTGCTGATGCTGGAAGTCTGGTTTCGGTACGCGATAGTAAAAGTTCTTAATGCACGTTCTAGCGGAGAAACAAGCACATTCTCAACTTGTAAACCATTCTCGATCTCAGTGTTAAGTGTAGCTGACGCCTTCTCTGCTTGTTGGATACCCGTAGCGGTCAGAGGAGCATCCAAATACTCCGGTAGTTTACAGTAGTAGGTGTTCCACGCGTCGCTGCCATATTTCTCGATAGCGACGTTGTGTGTGCCTTCTCCATGGCGCAGGAAGATCACAAGTTTCATCCTAGTGTCTCCAAGTCGTCTCTTGTTCATTTCAGCGTGTACGTCTCGCCATGTTTTGCCATCCAGGAGACCCATGTGAGGTGGATTCGACGCTGGAATAGGGTGACTAGGATCTCCTTGAATAAAGTACCCTGGACGGTAACGCAGCCGAGATGACGCAGCTTGTTGTCCGCGAACCGAAGTTCCAAGTAGAAGAAGCGCACAGACGACTGTCAGAAGCATTGAGATGAGTTGGTATCGGCTCGAACTCAGCAGTACTTCAGTCCTAGCCGAGAAAAGTCAAAATGTGATTTGAGAAATAAGGGGCCACGACAGATGGATCGGCAAGCGACCAACCAACGTAACGCCATTTTACTAACATCTATCACTTCAGAAAAGGCAACGAATGCCGGTCGATGGACAGGTTCAATCTAAGGCATTTACAATATACATGCGTCAGTCGTTGACGGCCTAAACAATATGCCTGAGACTAAAGCAAACTCGATGTATCTAGCAGCAATTCCTCCTCTGTGGCATCCGTGATCAACAACGGGATGAACTCTGCGTTTCTCGGCCGGTAGTAGCGGTGGCCCACAGCCGCAAAGCACCCGCGACTAAAGCCGCTGTGCGAGACAACGAGCACGCAGCTTTCGTCTTTCTTGTAGAATACTTCGTCCAGAAATTCTGCGGCTCGCTTGGCAATCTCCTCGCTTGTTTCACGGTGATCAGGCTGCCACCACGTGTCATTCTCACTAGCTACGTGATTAAAGTCCAATTGCGGATAGGCGGCCTGCTTTGGAGTCATGAGTTTGCGACGGTCGCAGTTAACGACGCCCAACGTCTCCCGTGCAAGCTCCACGACAGACACAGGGATATCCCGCATTCGGGTGAACACTCGGTCGTAAGTCTGCAGTGTGCGGTCCAATGGGGAGACGAAGATACGCTGCAGCCTAAGGCCGCACTTGGCGATCTGCTTTTCCAGCATCGACGCTGCGGCATCAGCCTGTTCCCTGCCGTGATCTGTGAGTGGGGCATCGATAAACTCGGCCCGCATCTCGTACTCCTCCTCCCACAATTTATCGCCCACACGAGCTTTAGTGGCATTGTGTGTGGCTTCTCCATGCCGCAATAGAATTACCAACTTAATGCGACGTCCCGGATGTTTGAGTTCGAATTGATCCATGTATTTGTACACGTCCGGCCAGGCCTTGCCGTCGACCAGCCCCATACGCATGGGAGGGTCCCCCATCTCGTCCACGGGCTCGTCCGAGATCCCCATGAGGAAAAAACCGGACACGCAGCGAAGGTGCTTGGCGACTGGGGAAGGTGATGTTGACATTTTGGTGCTTGGAGATATCCACGTGGGGCGTACAGTAACGGACGATGATGAGTCGTACGTAAGAGGAAAACTACGGTGCGAGTGAAGCTGTGACATAAGAGCTGTATTGTTTGACTAATGCCGAAGGATTTTCCCACAAAAACGTTCAGATCCATCCGCATTGCATGTGTCCATTCGTTTTTTTAAAAAACATTCTTGCCAGCCAGCCGGCCCTATTTGTGAGCTTTGAGTCTAACTCAGGAAAGCGGTGCGACTTTGTAGTCAGAGCTTCCAATGTTATGGCTTCGAGTAAGTGTTCCTGCTTTAGGATCTTTCTAATCGTTGCCTGTGATAAAGAGCGATGTAGATGAACACGTTTGGAGCCCACAACCCAAGCTGACCTACTCAATGATGGATTGTCGGCTTTGTGGCGGCAGATCTGTTGTCGCTGTGCATTTTGTCAGCCTGTTTTGCGGCCTGAGTGCAGTGTCAGCTTTTTACGGGGATTTTCACTTAAATTAAGTGTAAACCTTTGAAAAAATGTAAACAAAACTTATTTAAAACGTGGAAAAAGGTTATATATCTCAGACCTTTGACCGTCAATTACAACCCGCCCGCAGGCTTCGACACCCGACGGTCAGCATGTTTAAGACCGGTGTGAGCTACCTAATGTGCTGCGCCTAACAGAAGCTCAAGAGAACTTAGAGTATGATGCGCAACTTATCCATGGCAGCAGGAAGCGACAGTAAACGCGGGAGAGCGCCGCCACGCGATTAATGACAGCCGCCGCTAACAGGATGGTGTACTTCTGCTACCGGTCCGGCATCAGCAGCTGTTGAGCATGTTCTGCTTTCAAGATGGAGAAGTGCCGTAGCTCCACGGCGGAGGCATGGAAGGGGTCTCGATGCACGAAGCCGCCAGTTCAACCGGCTTCTAATATACGTTCCCATTCTGACCGCCGTCGATTAAGAATAAAATAATGGCCATTGCCACGGCTGGAAGTGACTCAAGTAGCTACACAAACTACAGCAAGTCTTTCGAGTAAATCCTTTTGCTATCATTGTCTTGTTCGAGTGGCAAGCAATGAGGGAGTGATGGCTGAAAAAAAGATGATGACGTTAGCAAAACCGTAGCTCATTCTGCAGTCAAATAAGCCTACCATGCAGCCTAGTATGTGCTGTTTTGCTACTGTTTCCCACACATCCGAAAGAAAATTTACTTTTTCACCATTCCGATCTTGAGTTGCTCGAGCATTTTCTCGCTGCTCAGCTGAATGCTGCTCTGCATTCTCGTCAAGAACACGACCGCTGATAATAGAGAAATTTCGAAACCTGCAATTCTTGGTCCGTTCTCGGTTGACGTTCATGAAAAGTGCAGCATCGAGCACGAACCAGGAATTGTTATCAAGACAGTCTTAGGAATCTGGTTTTCTTAGGAATGTCATGTCCGGTTGGAGACCTCTCACAACCAATCTTTCACAGCCACCACCAGTATGGTGTCGTCGGAGACTGCGTTGCTGCAGTGGTACATCGCCAAGAACAAGTACATGAGCCGCAAGAAGAAGCTTCGCTTCATGTTGCTGCTCGACCAAGTTGAGCGGCCTTCGATTCCTGCTGTGACGTTTGACCTCGCTAGCTACACCGATGCAAACAGCGAGCTTGAGTTTCGCTTCGATGTGGCTGGCGTCTACGAGCTACGGTCTCTGCTGCGCATCCCTGACACTGAAGTGACGGCACATGGCGACAATTGTGCCGGCGACACTGCCCTCTGCGTGATGCTAGCTCGCTTAGCGTTTCCAACGCGCTACTACGACACGATGAAGACGTTTGGAAGGGGTACAGCGTGGTTGTGTCGTGTATTCTTGCACATGATCGACTACGTGCACGACACGTTTGCGGACAAGCTGTTCATGGCTGAATCGATCGTTAGCGCCCGCATGGAGGAGTATTGCGAAGCCGTCGAGGGGAAAGGAGCTCCGACGGAGGGCGTATTTGGGTTCCCCGACGGCACCAAGGTGGCGGTTTGTCGTCCTTCACCTCGCCGTCATGGTGAAAGAGGTGAGAACTTGCAGAAGCATCTGTACAGCGGGCACAAGCGCATTCACTGCCTGAACTACCAAGTCGTGACGGCACCTGACGGACTTGTATCCATTTCTGGGGCCCCATGGAGGGACGCCGCCAAGACAGCACCATGCTGCGGGAAAGTGGTCTTTTAGAATACTTTGACGAACACCAAGACACGTTTGAGGGGAAGTTCCTTTATGATGACCCTGCGTATGGAACGCGTAAGTACATCGTCAGTGGATATAAAGGAAATTCTGTAAGTGCCGACGAAAGTGACTGAACAGCGAGATGAGTCGTCTTCGTGAATCGGTGGAATGGCATTTAAAGTGTATGAAAACTCTGTGGTCGTACGTCGAATACAATAAACAGCAAAAGGTTCGCTTGTCACCAGTCGGTAAGTTTGTTAAAGTTGCTATGCTCCTAACGAACTGCCACAACTGCTACTACGGAGGCAACCAAATCAGCCAGTACTTCGATCTGCCACCACCCAGCTTACAGGATTATCTGGGGTAGAAGGTGAAAATCCTGCGCTCGGTCAAGCACCACCTTCAAGACCCAAGACACCATCGCTCACTCCAACCCCTGCATCTTCGCCCACGTCACCGACCTCTCCTACAATTCCATCGAGCGCCGTTCCACCACGCGCCTTGAGCAGAGGTAGCTTTAGCAGGTTTTCGTAGCGTTCGTTTTCTAATCGAGCAAGACGAAGCTTAAATTCTCGCTCCTCTTCCCGGTCCTGAAGCTTCATTTCCTTCTGCTTTCGCTGCAACTCTTGCTTCTGCTGAAATTGCTCAGCTCGCATTTGGCGCTCTTTTTCGTTGTCCTCACGCATCAGGTCGTAGATGGTTACCTTGCGCGGCGACGGCTTCTCAGACTCGCTCTCTTCACCTCTGTCCTTCCGCTTCTTCAGGCGCGATACAGCTTCCTCCCGCATTAGCTTACCAACGTTATCTTCTGACTCGAGCTTTTCCTTCAGCTCCAGAGCCCGCTGCGCCTCTTCTCTAGCATGCTCATCTACAGCCAGCACTATCTCGTCCAGAAGCTGCTGCGACTCCGTGTAATCCTCCCGAAGCTGCCGCCGACTTTTTGTCGGCTTCTCGATGGTCTTCCCACCAGTACATTGAACCGTGCCTGTGCCGACTTGCCAGTAATCTCCTGCTTGGAAAACCCCTGCACGACTTTCACCTTGTTGGCGAGAGACGTCCACGCATCCATAAGGCTGCCTCGAACACTAGCAAAAGGCTGGTCTGCGTTAACTTGCCGGAGTAGTACTAGGTCGTCGTGCTTGCTGAATTTCTTTCTTTTTGTCCTCGATTTCGAGGAGGACACTGTTGTCGTGGCTGTTGAAGGTGCCTCAGTCGACTGGGCACTCTCCTTTGGAGGTTTACGAGATGTTGGCATCTTGGTGGGCTGGAGATCAAAAGCGAATGCTTCGAGCAGAACAACGGAGCTCGTGAAGGAGCACCACTCGTCATGGTTAGTGCCGGTTAACTGCTTTGGAACGGCGAAGATTACCTCAATTAGTTAATGCTCGAAGGCTTTTCGCAGAGTGGACTGAGATTTGTAGCGAAACCTCTTGCTTCGCATTCCTAGTCTTGGTCCATTCCCGTTTTACGAACGAGGACTCGGACCAAGATTGGCTCTCTTCAAAATCTCTCTAATATGGCGATGTGGTCATTCAGGCGGCTACTCATCTTTTCGAATGCTCGCTGTGGTCCACACAGCGAGCATTCGAAAAGATGAGTGATGAACAAAAGAGTCCGGAAGTAGCACGTCCGCTTGGAATTCCAGTAGCAAACGCCAAAAGATCAGTAATTTAACAGGCGTAAATGCTAGGACTGAGATGCGATGCTGTTTCTGAGTTTGTTCATGTTCATCTACTTCAGCTTGATTTTCATCGATCGTGCCCGGCTTCCCAGTTACTCGGGCATAGTATGAGCACTCGGCCAAGTGCTTCCCCCAAGCTTCTTTTCGACCATGAATACGGAGAGGAAACGGAACGGTTTTTCTGGCACTTACGTGTGCTGCGTAACAATACTTTCACACAGTCCACCACATCGATTTATTGCATTTCTCGTTGAGCCGGTAAAAGCTTGTGCTGATAGAACCTGGTGGGCGTCCACGTTTGGACCCTTCAACGTGCTCATCGTGCCGTCCAGGTAAACACTCCATCGGGAGGCGATTAGGACGTTGACGACGCTGCGGTAGATTTTATGGAGAAGTGAAGCAGCCTGCTCTTGAACTTTAATGCAAAAACGCTTTGTAAAACTGTTGTAAATCGAGTAAGATACCCTTTTAGCGTTAAAATG